AGTACGATTATGTTAAAGCTGGATCGAGCCTTCATAGGTTTCGTGTGGAACTGGACCCGACGGAATAACGACTTTGAATTGGTGATGGGTCGAATTATGGTAAGATCCCAGCTGACATGGATCCAACTCTGAAATGCTTCCGATAATTGTACCCACCTGTGATCGGATTTGATTGGGGGCTACTTCGAACCCGAGTGAGATTCAAGTCAAGTTGGATCCAGGTCGAGTAGGGTTCTGTTTGAGATGGACCGAGCCCTACTGGGACTCGGAGATTGATCGAGCCCTGGTAAGATTATGTGAGAACTGGCTCGGCCCCTGACAGGATGTTACTAGAGCTGGAACCATCTCTAGCTGGATGCTTGTAGAGCTGGATCCAGCCCTCGTGAAATTCGAGTAGAGCTGGACCCAGCCCTATGAAGAACTACAATAAAGCCAGAACCTGCCCCAGTAGAAATCTGTGAAGGCTGCATCGGCCCCGAGTGAGATTATCTCGAAGCTTGATTCAAGCATACCGTGATTCGATTATCGCTGGATTGCAACATAATCATACTCTATTACACTTGACTGCAATCCTAATTGGATTGCGTTGAAACTGGATCGAACGTTCGTGGGACTCCAGCAGAGCTTGATCCAATAGAGCTGGATCCAGACATAATAAGACTCCATGAAAGCTGATCCGAGCCTTTGTAGGATTCACTTGGGGGCTTGATCGAAACCTACTGGGAGTTCATGCCCTGAAGCAGGATTCTATATGAGAGCTGGATCGGGCCATTGCAGACTCCTGTCAGAGCTGGATCGCGCCCTCGTGGGATCCCACTGGGGCTGGATCCAGCCTCACAAGGATACTAAGAGAGCTAGATGCAGCCCGGATACTGCAGGTTCGCGCCGTGTCGACCCTGGCGTTGGTTCCTGACACCGCGCCGGATCGTTCAACCTTGAACGATCGGCCGTCTCCGCAACGTCCGATCGTTCAACATCGACCGATTCTGGGCCGCCGTCGGCGTTCAACCTTGAACGTCGGCGGCGGGGTCGCCGCCGGTCGGCACGACACGAACCTACCGTAGGATTCTGTAAAGGTCGAGCGATGTCTAACCAGATCAGGTGAGAACTGGAGCGCGCCCCAATTGGACTCTATCAGAGCCAGCGCCTCATGCGCGGGTGCCCGACACGGGTGAGCCGCCTCTGCCGCTGACGGTGTCGCCGGTGACGTCGTCGGCGGCGGCGGCGTCGTCGTCGTCGTCGTCGTCCGTCGTCGTCGTCGTCGTCGCCGCCGCGGTCGTCGTCGTCGTCGTCGTCGTCGTCGTCGTCGTCGTCGTCGTCGTCGTCGTCGTCGTCGTCGTCGTCCGTCGTCCGTCGTCGTCGTCGTCGTCGTCAGCGGCGGCGGCGTTGTCGTCGTGGTCGGCAGCGGCGGCGGCGGCGTCGTCCGTCGTCCGTCGTCGTGGTCGTCGTCGTCGTCGTGGTCCTCCGTCGTCGTCGTCGTCGTCGTTGTTGTCATCTGTCATCGTCGTCCGCGTCGTTTGCCCGCGGCGGCAACGACGTCGTCGGGGGGGTTCTGGACCTCTCGAATAGTTTTCCCGGGGGGCAGGGGGGAGGGTTCTGGACCACTCCGAACCATTTCCCCCAGGGCCCCAAGGGGGGGGGGGGGGGGCGGATGTCACGGTTCATTGCGGAGAAGGGGGGGTGGGGGAGGGGGTCAGGAGGGGGCCCCCGTGGTTTCTGGCCCTCCCTCCTAGGATTCGCTACTTGATTAAAGGGGGGGAATCCCTGGTTTTCTGGTCTTTGACCCATGTATAGCTCTTTTCAAGCCAACGACGGTGGATCGCGCTCCCAAAGCGAGACTCATGCGGATTATGCTGTTGTTCGACCATGGGTATCCCAACGCCGATGCTGCATCTTCTCCGGAGTGGGTTCCTGGTCCTTTTCTGGATGGGGTTGATGAAGCAACTAGAAAAAAACAGGAATAGAAAGGATAAAGAGAGAGAGAGAGGGCACGGTCATCATGATAGACCGTAGCATATGCATCATGTAGGAATCCACAGGATACACATCATAAGTTTACATAGCAAAAAAAAGCTCCCCGAAATTGTCTGGGGAGAGTTCGCGATGTGTCATGGATCATCTGTCGCCCAAGCTGGCTCCAAGAAAGTCCCCAAATGCTCCATGATGGGCTACATAATGGCTCAATGTAACCGAAGATGGTTCAAGATGGCTTCCGACACATCTCCAAGAGGCCCCAAGAGGACCACAAGACGGCTCAAGGTGATCTCGAAGCTCCCCCAGAACTCCTCCAAGAGGCTCGAATTCTGCAAAACCTAATGACCATCAACGAAGTTTACCTTCTCGCCTGTTCTTTTTCGGCACGAGTTTGAAGCCTGCAGGTGGCCCCAGGATTGCCCAAGGCGATAAGATGTTAAAGCCTAAGAGGCCCCGAAGACGGCCCCAAGAGAGCCAAAGAGGGCTCCAATAATGTCCCAAGAGACGATGTTGAGGGCTCGTGAGGGGACACATGAATTGGGAAACCCCCTTTTGTTGATCGGCGCCCTCCAAGATGGCCCCAAAAGGCCCCCTCAGAGAGCCCCAAAACCTCCCAAAAGAGCCTCACGAGGACCGCAAGAATCTCAAAACCAGCCCCAAGAACGCCCAGAGAGGGCCACGAGAGAGCCCCAAGAGGACCTGAAAGGGCCTCAAGAGGACCCCAAGACAGCTGCCAGATTCTTCTTCGTCCTCCTCCTCCTCCTCCTCCTCCTCCACCTCGTCTTCGTCCTCTTCCTCCTTGTTCACCTCCTCATCCTCCCCCTCCCCCTCCCCATCCTCCTCCTCCACCTCCTCCTCTTCCTCCTCCTCCTCCTCCTTTTCCTCCTGTTCCTCCTCTTTTTTGTTATCCTTCTGTTCCTTCTCTTGTGCGTGTTCTTTGTTGTTCTCATCTCTCGTTCTCGTCCTTGTCTAGGGCCCGATTAGGCTGGTCCAGGACCTGTTCCATTACATGCTTCTACGCTGTCCTGATCAAGGCAACTCGCCTGGGCATCGTTTCAGTATGTGCTGGTGGGGATACGCAAAGCGTCAATTATATACATGCGTATCTGCACATATGAATATGTTTACTCCGACGGTACGACGCCGCATGCTGATATTCTGAACTAATCTGGCAATCATCATCATCGTCGTCCTTGTGACTACGGAGGCCCTCTTCCTGTCTGGAATATGCTGGCTCTTGCCGACGCTTACAAGCCTGATCGAGGATGGCCGCCTCGGATTACAGAGGACGCTCGGCAAAAACACGAGGCTCCAACTCGAGACCGTCTCGAATGTCCGCCTCCCAACTCACACCAGACATGTGCTTGTACAAGACTTCCCGGTGGCCGCCTGGGACCACCCACACGACACGGGGGGCCCGATGAAAGGGGGGCTCCCGCTCGAGACTCTCCCGCGATTCGCTCGCACGCGAGCGCCCGAGACATCCTCTCAATTTCCTCAGAGATGAGGCTCCCGCTCGAGATTCTCCCGCGATTCACTCGCACGCGAGAGCTCGAGACATCCTCAATTTCCTCAGAGATGAGGCTCCGAGAAGTCTTGAGCGGGAGCCTGGCTCCCGCTCAAGACTTCTCGGGGATCTCCTGACCCGGGTCAGTCCAGACCCGGGTCGGCAGGAAACCAAAAACTGCACTGCAGGAAGAACAAACTGCAGCGCAGGTCTTCGCAAACCCGGGTCGGCCAATATGCGCGGCCGCCTCGCGGCCACGAGCGGCTCGCTAACCTGGGTCAGCCAGAGGGGGTCTTCGCAGGATCCTGCAAGATCTGGTGCCCGTTTGCATTGAACCCCGTCTCAAGGCTCCCGGACTTCCTCGGAATTCAGGCCCCCGGTATCCCGATGGCCGCCTCGGATTCACAACATCAGGCGGGGACCCCACACGGAGGGGGGCTCCAGCTCGAGACTCCCTCGCGGCTCACTCGCAGACACGGCGCCCGCTCGAGACATCCTGACATTTTGCTCAGAAACGAGGCTCCCGCTCCTGACTTCTTTGGTATTCAGGCTTCTAGGCCCACACCCACGTGTTTGCAACGTATTCCGATGACCGCCTCGGATCACGGACCACCGACATCGGGCCGGGACCTCCTAGGGAGGGACCCCCGCTCGAGACCCCCTTGCGGTTCACTCACAGACAAGTCCGCCGGCCACTCGGCGAGTGTGAAAGGCCGTCGTCGTCTTCGTCGGCGTCGTTGTCTCCGTCGCCGTCGCCAGTCCCAAGAGAAGACAGAGCGAACGGAGAAAAGAAACGTCCTAATGACGTCGTTTCCCTCCCCTCTCTCTCCTCCCTAAAAAGGGGGGGCTATGTCGATTCCCTCCCCTCCTTCTCCTCCCTAAAAGGACGGGGGGGGGTACGGGAGGGGTACCGAGAGGGGGTAACGGGGAGGCTCCCGGGTCGGACTGCCGCCCCCCCCCCCCGTGCTCCTGGCGGGCCCCCCTTGTGGACAGGGAGCCACGGGACACCCCCAGCTCGGCGGATCGCCAGCGGGGGTCTCGGCGGAAGTCCCGCCAATGCTGGGGGGTGGGGGTCCCAGGTCAGAATGCCGTCCCCCCTGGGATCCCAACGGGTCCCGGAGGGAGCGCCAGCGAGGGTCTCGGGGGAAGTCCCGCCAATGCTGGGGAGTGGGGGTCCCAGGTCAGAATGCCGTCCCCCCTGGGATCCCAACGGGTCCCTGAGGGAGCGCCAGCGAGGGTCTCGGGGGAGGTCCAGCCTTCTGGGTCGGCGGCACTGGCCGCAAGGCCTTCACAATAAGCGCTCGAGACATCCTCTGAGCTTGCTCGCAAAACGAGGCTCACGCTCGAGACTTCCTCAATGTATGAAAGGTCCTACGATGGCCGCCTCGGATTACAAACGTCAGGTCGGCACCCCATGGGGAGGGGCTCCCACTCGAGACGTCCTCGCGGTGCACTCACAGACGAGACGTCCTCTGAGTTTGCTCAAGAACGAGGCTCCCGCTCGAGACTACCTCGGGATTCAGGCTCCCAGGCAGGAGAACCCAAAATCGAATCGATAAGTCGGATCGGCGATCGAAATGAATCGGATCGGCGGAACTCGGCAGGCTAGTATGCCTCTAACAAAAGTCATACCCAAAATCGGGATCCCAAATCGAAACGAATCGGAATCGGAAACAATTGAACTCGAATCGAATCGAATCGGAGGAGTGGAAACGAACCCTGACTCAGGCTCTCAGGTGTCACCAAACCTGTTTGATGTTGGTACCAGGTATTGCGATGGCAGCCTCGGATCACCAACGTGGAGGTGGGGATCCCATAGGGATGGAGCTCCTGCTCGAGACTTCACCGCGGCTCTCGCACACACGAGGCTCTCGCTCGAGACTTTCTCCGTATGAGTGATTAAGAGAGTGTGAGAGTGTGTGTGTGTGTGTGCGATGATGATGGTGATGCTGCTGCTGCTGCTGCTGATGATGATGATGTTGATTAATGGTGATGACGATGATGACGACGATGCTGATGACGATGATGAGGATGATGCTACTGTTGTTGCTGATGATATTGATGATGATGATGATGATGATGATGATGATGTTGATGATCATGCTGATGATGCTGATAACGATGCTGGTGACGAGAATGATGATGGTGATGAAGTTGTTGTTGTTGGTGATGATGATGATGTTGATTTGTATCTGAATGCTGTCTATACTGCTGATTATGTTGATGATTGTAATGGTCATGGTCATGATGATTATGATGATGGTGCTGCTGATGATGATGCTGATGATGATGATGATGATGGTAGTGATGAAATTGATGGTGGTGGTGATGATGAGGCCGGAGATGATGATTGTGATGAAGATGCTGATAAAAAAAACGGTGTGACGGTATATGTTCGATGCTCGATGATGAGGATGATGATGAGGATGATGATGACGATTGAGGTGGCGATGATGACGTAGGTGTGTCATTGCTCCATCGCGGGAGTGTCCCAAAAAACACTTATGGCGTGGGGAAATATATACTCACACACGCGAACAGTTTGTACACACATGCGCACGTGTATATATATATATATACACATATATACACATAGATATAGATGAGTGGTTGTCACTCCTGTTGTCATGAGCGACTTCTAGAACGTCTTTGGATTTTCTGGTGGGGCACTTCTTGAACCTGCGCGGGAGTGCTGCGCAGTGGCTGGAGGGCGAACACGGCGCCGACCAGGCAGGCTGGACCCCGGCAGGCGACCGTGGCGGGCACACGCGCCGTACCTGCGACACGCGAGGCAGCCGCCGACCGCGCAGGTCTGTTCTGGTGTGCTCTATTTCACGACGACGGGTTGCCCTAAACCCGAAACCCTAAACCGTAAACCCTAAACCCTCGTAGAACTGGTGAGCCCGAAACCCTAAACCACTTTTAACCATCCAGAGAAGCCCAGCGGCGAAGGGTCAGGGAGAACCGACAGACGAGGAGACGACACGGCGGAGGGCGCGAGGGGGGATGGGAGGGGGGGGGGGAAGGAGGGAGGTGTACACGTCGGTCGGAAGAAGTAGATAGCAACATGAAGTAGGAAGGCGGATATAGTAGATTGGGTCCAGGTCCTCCAAGAGAAAAACACAACACAGCAACAGCATGTCGATTCTGGAAGTAGGAAGGCGCTTGACATAGATTGGGATCTGGGAGCCCAAAAATACCTACTTGCATCGTCCGGCGTGCACTTTGTTTAACGACGACGTGTCGTAGAACCGTCGAGGCCCACGCTCAGAAGGGATTCGGCCCCGCTGCTCTCTTGGTGTGGGCCCCATAGAAGTGTCCCCGTGGAGGCTCAGACAAAAAACCCAGCGTCTGTCTTGAGGTAGACAAGAAGGCCGGAGGCACGCGCAGTCTCCACCTGCAACCGGGCGGCCTCCCGCCCAAACCCCATCGGGAGGAACGAGACGGGGAGGCGGAGAAGGAGGACGGAGGAACGAGAAGGGGGGGAGGAAGAGAAGGGGAGGAAACAAGAAAATGGAATGAGGAGGGGAAGGGGGGAAAGAAGGAAAGGGATGAGGAGGAGGAGGGATTCCCAGACGCCTGTTACTGAATCGGAATAAACAGTTTGATCCCCCGGAAGGCCAGCGCTCGGACAGGCCGCCCAGCAGCTTCGTCGCCGAGGGCGGCTTCACTATGTCGACGCAGCGCACCCGCCGATTCGGGCCAGGGCCGCCCGGCTCCCCGAAGGCCGCCCAGGTCCAAGCACAATTCTCCGCTGCCCTCCTCCCTGCTTCCCTCAAATCCGGGTCTGGCAAGAATCGCGACAACCACTTGCTCGTCGACTTCGGCGTCGGGAGGCCGCTTCAAGGCCCCAGGACCGCCACCAAAACCAACTCAGGATGAAAAACTGGCCCTGGGGAAGTAGTCGGGACCATCGAGGGCTGGCGTCACGAACAAAATGCAACGTCGGAGAAAATGATCCCATCTCCCTCCTACACCCGAAAATAGAGACTTGTGATCCGTGATCCGTGGATCTGCGACGCGGGCGCGGGATGGGGACATAACCGAATCAGTGATCGATCGACACGTCCACTTCACATCGGAGCGCAACAGCGATCGCGGATGGCTGCAGTGGCTTAGGGCTCGACGAGGGCATTCGCAATCCCTGCTGCGACCGCGGCCACGCAAATCCTACGCGCGCCCGCGGCACCACAACTGGCAGCGGCGGGTTTCGTGGGCGAGGTCAGCGGCACTTGGCCCTGACGTCCGTCGTCTGGGCGGAGGGGGCCGTGAATCCATGAATTGGTGAAACGGGCCCAGGGGAGTGTCCAGTAATGAAATGGACCGTGGTCCCCATCGAGAGCATCACTATCATTGGTGGGCTTGTTTTCCACTGCCACCACCATATAGTAGGAGGGGGGAAGGGGGTCCTCCACCGCCACCACCATAATTAAGTAGGAGGGGGAGGGGGCCCTCCTCCTCCTCCTCCTCCTCCTCTTCCTTCTCCTCCTCCTCCGCCTCCACCTCCTTCCCCCCTCCAACTTATGGAGGTGGTGGTGGTGGAAGACAGGCCAATCAGTCATGCTTTTCTTGAAACGTTTCTCAACGTTACTGGGCCCAGCAAAGGCCCCAATGCAGGCAAAGCACCGCCAAAACCATCCCGTCGTTATTGCCATCGTCTCACGACGCGAGGATGCCAAGATCACCCCCCCGCCCCTTCCTCACATCCGTTGATCTGTATTCATCAATCCGCGGCACCAAGAGATGTTCCTTCCCCTTCCCCGGGCCAATGTCTCGCCCAGGGTCCAGGATGGAGTCCCCCACAGGGCCCGAAAAGAGCTGAAGTGGAGGGAAAAGCACAGATTGAAACCAAAACCAAATAATGCAATCTGGGATGATCCCTCCGCCACGGGGGGCTTCCTTTGGGGACACGAAGCCTGTGAGACGCGTGCAAACGTCGCCTCTGGGGCCTTCGGTGGAGCTCTCTGTGGGGCCACGAACACTGTGGGGTGTGCGCCGGACTGGTTGACACGCGCAGGGCAAAGGCCGGGACGGGAGGACGAAGGAGGGGGAGAGGAGGAGAAGAGAGAAGAAGAATGACACGGGGCGCTGCTTCTTCAAAACGAGGACCCAACACCACGGGATGGTTGGGGGAAGAACGCAAACAAGGGCCCCGAGGCCCGGGGGCTTCCGGGCGGCCCCCGGCGCAGGGGGTTCATGAGCACCAGGAACACGGCCAGCATGCCGCAACCGGCGCACGCCTCCACGACGTCCAGAGGCCCGTCTGGAAAGTGACGGTGGATGACGGTGGCGAAGGCGTGGGCCTCGAAAAGCTCCTTCCTGGGCGGGGGGTCAGACATTGAGATATACTTGCATGGAGATGCAATCTGTACAGCTGCTGGCGCCCTCGGGGGCCAACAGGCTGCGAGGCGTGGTTTGCCCTGTTCTGCGCAACACTTCAAGGGCCCAAGCCATTATCACGTGCTCTGAGTTCCTGGAGTACCGTGGGACACAGGAGTGCTGCAGATTCGCGCCTCCGAGCACACAACCTCTCCTAGAAAAAAATATTGCTTCGCGCTCTCGAGGCCACAACCCATTGTACGTTGCTGCGGGATCCGCATGCCCGATGCCACAGGCCCTCGCACACGACTCCAGATCCGCGCCCCCGAGGCCACAACTCCTCGCAAATTATGTGCGACGCGCTCGCGCTCCCGAGACCACAACCCACAGCAAGTTGCAGCCAAAAACGCCACCCCTTCTATTCGAAGGTAACGATTCTTCTGCTCCCCTGCCGTCTCCTAAGACTTCGGCACTGGACCCTGGGGCACCTAGAGTACACCAGACTTGCGCCCCAGGGGCACAGTCCCGAGGAAAGCGCAACAAACTTGCGTCCCCGAGGTCAGCCCCGAAACAACCATCCCTCCGAAACTACCGTGCGTCCGCGCTTCCGATGTCAGAGCCCAAGGTGAAGTGCAACAGGGTCGCCCTCTCGGGCGGGCCCGATGCATGTCACACTCTCTCGACAATTACTCCGCGCTCGCGTCCGCACAGCCACACGCCCCTCGTGAGTTGCAACGGGTTCGCCCCCCCCACCCCCCTCCCAGGAGAGCCCAGAATCGAATCGACGAGTCGGATCGGCAATCGAAAAAAATCGGATCGGAGGAGATCGGCAACCGAGTCGGAAATCGGCAGAAATCGGCAAGATAGAGGGCCTCCGTTGAGAAACCGGAGGCCACATCGGAATACGAAGTCGAATCGAATCGGAATCGGGCACCACCGAGATCGAATCGAATCGAGTCGGTGAAATCGAAACGAGCCCTGCCCACCCCACCCGAGGCACAATCGGAATAGTAAGTTGCTGTAGGCTTGCGCTCCCGAGGCCTTACGATCACGTGCACAAAACACTGCGCGCTCGCGCGCGGCCTGAGACAATACCACCAACCGTCCTCCAACACTTAGGTCGGGTATGTCCTTCTACAGGTGGATTTTGGACGAAGAAACAAATGTCACAAAATAAAAAAAAGCAAACGTAATCCAAAGCTCGTCCCCTGACCATTGTGTAAACTATTTTTGCAGATTCCTCCTGCAGGGGGACGTGCCCGACTTCATCCCACACCCCGCGTCTCTCCAGGGGGTGTCCACTGTGACCCAAAGAGAGCTGCACTCAAAACAGGGCTAAGATCGGGATAAATCGCTCCAGAGTGTTCCGGAGCGCTCTCAGAGCGTTCCGCAACGCTCTGGAGCGGCCGCGGCGCCCAATACATCCTCCAAACCCGCCGATTCTCAGAGATTTCGAATTGCCCCGATCCGATTTTGTCCCGATCTTCGCGTCGTTGCCAGGGAGTGTCCACTGTGACCCAAAGAGGGCTGCACTCCAAGTCCGTTCGCACCGCTGCTCCGACCTCATCGCATCCGCCGTGGCCGAACTTCCGAGTGGCGTGCCGCCGCGGAGACACGGGCCGCCGAGCGCGCCCGCACAGAACAAAGAGCCTGAGATCTTGGACGCGCAGCCGAAATCGCGACCCATCTCACCGCCCCTCAAACGGGGACTCCGCTAACGGGTACTTCGCCCAGTGGCCCAGTGAACCCGACCCTGCCCGAGGCGGGCAGCGCTGCATCGCCAGAGAGAGGCCCCAAGGTGGCAACGTTCGGCAACATTGCAAAGCACCCGTGAGTAAGCCTGAGATCCTTGAAACGCAACAGAACACGCGATCGGCCTGCCCACACAGGAGGAGGAGGAGGAGGAGGAGGAGGAGGAGGAGGAGGAGGAGGAGGAGGAGGAGGGAGGAGGAGGAGGAGGAGGAGGAGGAGGAGGAGGAGGGGGAGGAGGAGGAGGAAGAGGAGGTGGCGCGGTCACGTGGCTCCCGCGCCCGGCCTGCACGGCCGGAGGTGATCGGGGGGAACCGGCCGACCCCTCCCCACCTCCTAGCCCCGTCGACCCCACCTTGTCCGCCCCAAAGATTCTGGAGACATGCTGTCGCATATTCCCGAGATAGTAGAACAGCTTCCTGGATGAGTTGGGAAGATCACGTCGGACCCGTAGCTGTAAGTCGGGACCGCCCTCGGGGTTCGGGAAGGGGAACGCGCCCACGGACGATGCCATCCCATGGAACGTGGAGGCCTCTAAGTTGGATTCAAAATCCAGGAACACCTTCTTACTGCAATCGTAGGCCTTGACCTGAATCGAACCCTGAGTCGAAGACGGAGCACAGCGGGTGATGATACTCTGGACAGTTTCACGGAGCGTTTTCTCCATCAGCGGCCGAGGGAATCCAAGAACCACGAGACCAGAGTCGATCTTCCGACGGACTTGCCTTTCATCATCCCCACGAGGTGTCGGGGTCCCCAGCTCGACGACTTGCTGAAGGTCCTGGATCTCATCACGCATCGTCTGGATCATTCCTTTGAGCTCTTCACGGATGGCGGATTATGCGGTCTCTCTGTCCTGAATGCACTGAAGTAGAGCCTGTTCATGGATCGCTCGCATCTGCTCGAAGTTGGCAGCCGTCTGTTTTGCCAGTTCAGTGTGCGCCTGCTGTAATGTCTGGAAGTTCTTCTCAGCAGCGATCATCTGACCCTGGATTCCCGAGATCTGTTGGTTTATCTCCTGCACGCCGAGATTCAACTGACTGGACAGGCTGGCGACTGACGACGACAGAGGAGCAATCATCTCACGCATGGCGGCAAGGATCTGCTCGGTGTCCCTCTTACCCTCCGAGCACGTACCTCCAGGCGCCGTCGGGGGGGTGCTCATCCCTCCTGGGGAGGCGGGAGGAGTAGACGAGAGAGATACAGGCCACGACTCGCTGACCTCGGACGGCACTGCGGGAGGAGATCGCGGCCACGGCGGGCCGAAGGAACGCGGCCCCGGGGGGCCAGGGGAGCGCGTCCGCTCCCGGCATTGGTGCCTGGCCACCAGGCGCCTCGAGAGAGGTTGGAAGTTAAGGAGCAGGCCCCTTGAGCCAAAATGGCTTGAGCCAAAATGGCTACGGTAAGGAGGAGGAGGAGGAGGAGGAGGAGGAGGAGGAGGAGGAGGAGGAGGAGGAGGAGGAGGAGGAGGGAAGAGGAGGAGGAAGAGGAGGAGGGGGAGGAGGAGGAGGAGGAGGAGGAGGAGGTGGCGCGGTCACGTGGCTCCCACGCCCGGCCTGCACGGCCGGAGGTGATCGGGGGGAACCGGCCGACCCCTCTCATGAGAAGGGGCAGCACGCGCAGGAGCATGACCTTCCCGAGGTCCCAACGGACTTCGTGACTCGGCGCTGGACCCACCTCTTGTCTGGACGCCCGAAATGGGTACCGAAAGAATGGGCACAATGCCCAACACCAGTTCCTGTTCATTTTGAACAGGCCTCGCTGTCCACGCCGCCGCGGCCTGTGTCCATTCGAGACTGGAGGCCGCCTGCCCAACAGCGGCCGCTGTTGGTTTGGGACAACATGTGTTGTTGGGCATCGTACCAATTTTTTCGGTACCCATCTCGGGCGTCCAAATCTTGGTGGTCTCCAAACCAGGTGGTGAGACACCCGGTGGTGACCCCGATTCCCCCCCAAAATTAATTCTGGGTCACCGCCGGGTTTGGGGACACGCGGTCGCAACGAGGTTTTGCGTTTCCTGGACCAGCCAGCGCTCGAAAACCATTGCCCAAATCGCCCAAAACTCACCACCGGGTGTTCTCACCACCACGTATGGGGACCACCAAACCTCACCGGTGCGCGGAAGGCGCCCAACACGGCACCGGAGGCACCGCCAGGGGGGGGATCCCGCGCCCCGACCCAAGAAATCCGCGAGGAATTAAAGACTGAATGACTTCTGCTGTCCTTCCACTCGCGCTGGAACGTCCACGATTTGTTCCAGATTTCCTTGGAAGTCTCTGGATGTAACTCGATTTCCCTAGGGACGACTTCCCTAGGGACGGCTTTTCGTCCCGAGTCGTTTTTTCGACGGTCCCGTAGGCTGTTGAGGGCCCAAGGGCTTGAACGCCCGAAATGGGCACGGACAGAATTCGTACGATGCCCAATAACAAATGTTGTCCAACACCGACAGCGGCCACCTGTGTATCAGATGGACAACGGCCGCAGTGACGCCGACAACGACACAGCTCCAAATTAAATAGAACTGCTGCCGGCCTTCGGACCCATTCTTTCCGTACCCATTTCGAAAGTTTCGACCAGAAGCTAAAGACGACCAAAAACCAGCCGCCCGTCGGTGGCAACTTATGGAAACCTCCCATGCCGTCTTGATGGCTCTTGCGAATCGAGGCCGATCGACGCCACATCGGTACTACTCCACGCTACGTCGGTGCTCTATCATCTACTACCAAATGCTGGCGTACGCTCGTGCATTTTGAAGTCGGAACTGCGAGGAAACACCATCGACGCGTATAAGAAGGATCCACGATGAGGATATACGGACCTTGGAAGGCCATGCCGACACCTGTGAGAGAGCGTGATCCACCGCCGCTATCCTGTGGAAAATTCCCCTCTTCCCCTGGAGCCCGGGGTTCCCCTCCCCTTCGAAAATCCCCCCCCCTGCTGGACCCCCCCCTTTCCCCCGGCACCCCCCCCCTCTCCTAACCCCCCCCCTCCTGGAAAACTGGGGGGCCACTTCCAAAAAACCGAAGTGGGTCACCTCCGGTTCGAAGCCCTCCCACCCCCCCTCTCGAAAACCGGGGGGGGGGGGGGTCATATACCCGTTCCCCCCCGCCCCCCCCTGAAAACCAGAGGGGGGGGGGTCACTACCGGTTCGAACCCCTCCCCCCCCCTTCCAGAAAACCACCGAGGGGGCGTCACTACCGGTTCAAAGCCTCCTCCCTCGAGAACCGAGGGGGGCCACCGCCAGTTCGACC